TGATGAGATCCTAAAGCTTGAAGATGGTGACGAGATCTGGTTTAGTATGATCCAAAGGATGAGAGACCATCAGAAAGAAAAGTTGTCAACCTAACGGTCAAGTCGTTCTATATTAAAGAAGACGCCATGAACTATGAACCATATGTAGGATGGGGTCAAGAAGTCAAAGATGTATCATTTTAGGACTTTGAGAGAGAACCTTAGACATCCAAAAGTATTTCGTTTTAGCGACCCCAACTTCGATCACCATGCATCCCATTATGCATATGGCATACAGAGCTTTCGATATATTCATCTCATGGCTTCAACAGAAGATGATGCACAGAGGTTTGTTGATATCGCAGAAATACTAAACAAGAGTGCTCAAGAAGTGGAATTGGATGATAGTTCAGTAGATTTGGTGCGCGATGGTGCGCGATGATATCACAGGAGCCTTGATCTCGGATGTTGAATTTAAGTATAAGCTCCTGCATGATTTTGCCCGTGGGGCTCATGTACCATGTTTGGTGGAATCGTTGCTCAAGAGGTGGTAATGGCATTGTCTAAAACGTTTTGCCCCATTCATCAGGTTAATCCATCACACTCCCCTTTTATATTTCTAATTCAAAACATCATAGTTATGTTTTTATTCAATCTGACACTTAATATAACAATGTTTTCAGCTCTTTTACTTTCACTCGGTCGGGTCTCTTCCTAGGGTTCCCTTGGTATCCGATGCATACATTAAGCCTATGAATAGTCGTTATGATGGACAGATTGTAGTGTTTGGAACTTAATTCCAGGATTCTTCTTATAGGGTATGGTTCCTTGGGATGCAAGTTCGCAAAGAGCCTAGCATTAATGGGCGTGTCATATGGTCAAGAAGGGATGTTGATAGTTGCAGATCCATATGTAGTTAGTTGTCAACAAACAACTAAGCAAACAATTTTTGTATCGTGAGTGGAACATTGGGCAGTCAAAAATCAAAAATTGTTGCTTCTGTGGCATCCCTGACAAACATCTTCCATTTGATGTGGATCTTGTGTACCGAGATCCGTTTAGTCATAGCTTTTAGCAGGAGGAAGTTAGATGTCATTGTCAACTCTGGCAACGCTCTGTGCTAATAAAAAAATGCATGATTTTCAACAAACCACTACTATAATGTGGCAAATCGGGTAATACGTGTGACATCCGAGTCGTAATTCCCCAAGTCACTGATAACTATCGCACCTCAAAAGATTTGTTACATAAGTATTAGATACCCACATTAAGAGCATTGACCATTGCTTTGCATGGGTGTGGTCAGAATTCAAAGAGATGCTAGTGAAGAAACCCTTAGAAGCCAATGCCTTCATATCAAACCCAAAAGAATATGTATGTGCACGCAGAAGAATATGTATATGGAGGCGGTTTCAAGAAGCTGGAAGTTGTTCAATGCCTCGACACGTTCCGACATTGAATCAATTGGGCGCATCAAAGGTAATTCTCACTTCATGTCTCACTTTTCAATTGACTTGGTTTTAGAAGCGGAGTCACACTGGTGGCATTGAAAAATATAGTATTAATTTTTATTTTATTTTTGTTACCATAAAAATTGTTATTGTGCTTATAAATAGTTAACCGTAACAGAAAAGCATGAAATGTAGGCACAAAAACTATACTATTCATCCTTTAAATAATGCTAGTGACATGTGAACCATTATTTCTCTGCATCCCAATGATGTGGGACAAATTAGTTTTCGTTTTTTAGCACTCGTCCCATTTTGGCCCTTGAAGCAAAAACAAGGTTACTCTTTTTATAAAAAAAAAAGTTCCTTGTTGATTGCTCAACTAGTATTAATTAATGTACCTCTTTTATGACGGTTCTTGATCTTTAAGAAAATCTTGCACCGTTGTTGTTCTCAATGGAAAGGCTTTATGTGAGAAACCAACTAAGTCATATAAGAGAAATAGCTAAAGACATGTTTGAACAAATTAATGATATTAAATAATTACTAGACTAAAAAATGTAATGAGTGTTGTGTCCAACCAATAAGGTTTGTATATCTTCTTCGTTGAAAGTTAAGTTGGGCTTAATTATTTTGGTATTTATTTACAGATAATTTAACTAGTAAATGATGTTGTCCTTGAACCAATATCATGAAAGGGTGTAATGGTTCTGGAAGTTATGTAGCAGTTACACTAGAACTGTTACTTCTAGTTAATGTCGTTTAGCAAAAGTTATAATTGTTCACATGTATGCATAAACCGATGTAAAGTTGTTCTTGTGGTTTTAATAAATATATTAGTTTGTGTACAAGAACCTTCTTAAGAATGTTATGTGGGGCATGTTCTGTGGGCTGTGGGCAGTTTGAATGGGCTTCAATGTTCTTAAGAATTTTTAATCTGAAATTGAAAGTAGCTACTTTTTACTCTAAATTGCATTCGGTTTTTCATAATTAGTTTAAACGGGTTAACTGTTTTTTGGATATATACATATTTATTAAATGTTGTTTTACTGCTTTTTGAATATGAAGTCGTTATACTAAATCACGAACGAAAATTTCCAAAAATTATAGAGTTGTTTTTTAGTTGTGATAACTAGGCTTTTAGTCCGCCTAGCTCTGTTTGGTTTATTCTTGTTGATAACTACAATTGACATGTTTCTAGGTTTCAATAGTACTTCAACAACAACGTGAGGCAATTGGTATGTGATTTTCCTCAAGATAAGAAAAACCATATGTGGTAATATGTTTTGGTCAGCTCCAAAGCGCTTCCCTCACCCGCTAAATTTTATGGTTTCTCAAAATAAGTCATTGATTTTTTTTTGGCGACTGCCAAAGTTTGTGTTGATGCATTTGATGTTTGTGTCCCTTTGTGGGCAAACAACCATGAAAAGTTAGCTGAAATTGTTGGTGAGTTCCAACCGAAGGAGACTATTATGCTACAGATAGCGGCGTTAGTGATATAGAAGTAGTTATAAAGAAGTTACAAGAGTACAGTAGAAATCCTCCCTCGATCAAGGTTGTTGAAACTCATTCAGTTTAATAAGGTAAAGTAGTTAATTATTATTATGTGTGCATATCTAACATCCCTAGCGACTAGTGTTATTATTTATTTGGTGAGCGTGCATGCTCATGGTGATAGTCATATAGATTTGATTGTTGCTATGGGTAACTTGGGGCGAAGACCTATGGTATTCCTGAAGTTAACAAGCAAAGAACTACTCCAGAAGGTGCCAACACCGGTACAACAATGATCGTCGGTTTAGCTTGTATGGACCTGTACAAGGTTGTGAAGCCAGGTCACATGGTCGATGAGTATCATAACACAGATGCCAATGTGCAAGTTCCTTACATGTACATTTATAAGCCACACCAACAGTTCTGGCAAGGGAGGAAGCTAGGTTGGAAATCCCTGCTTTACTGACATTTCGATCTTTTGCACAAGAGGTTACATTCTCGAAACTCTAAATGAATACATATCCACCCATCCATGTAGATTGTATCTACATTTTTTTTGGAACCGGGGAACCGGCCGGAACCGTAACCGTAACCGGTACCGGAATCAAAACCAGATAGAACCGATTGGGCCGGGACCGGGACGATATTCTTGTGGATTTTTGGAACCGTGAACCGGTATAACCGGCAAAAACCGAAACCGTAACCGAAATATTTCTCAAAATATGTTGCTATTTCTCAAGGATCGGTTCCAACATTGAAGACCCGGCAAGAACCGGTAGGAACCGAAACCGGTAGAACCGGCGGTCCGGTTCGGTTCCTATTTTTCACCAAGTTCGGTTCCCGGGCCGGTTCCGATGGTCATCCCTAATGATTTGTATCTCCAACATACAAAAACACATCCCCATGGTTTCTTAAGTTGAGGATGGTATGAAAGACATCCCCCCCCCCCTCCCTCTTTCTTTTTGTTCACTGCCTAGTTTCTTGAGTTGAAAATGCAAATTCTGTTTAGATAGGTAATAATGTTGGGGTATGAAGTCCTATCCAACATGGAAAACTAAGAATTAACATGAAGCACTTAGGATTTACATGGAGCACTTAGAGTTGCAATGGAGCACGTGGAGTTGGAGTGGACCATTAGTGATGCGCCATTATAGTGAGGATGTGCCAGCTATGACACAAGGTGCGCCACCTTGTTGCTTGATACGCCACTCTTGTGTGCATTGTTGTGTTTCAGGAATGTTAAAGTGTTACTGATAAACAATTGAAACAGGATACACCATTCAAGAGGAGGATGTGCAATCATAGAGCATGATGCGCACCAAGGTTCATGGTGCGCCATCATGGCTTCTGATGCGCCGCTCATGTGTAAAGGTCACTAGGATGCTCAAGATTGTCCAAATGTTGCTCAGAAGAATAAGAGTTGCTCAGAACAATAAGAATAAGGGGAATGTTTGATGGCAGGTGCGCCATCATGATGCACCATGGTAGCTCATGATGAGCCATCATGGTCCATAATGCTCCATCATGTGCTTGGTTGATGCTCATGAGGTTGAAAGTTCTAGAAGAACCCGCATGACATTCTATGATTGGTTGGAAATTAGGGTATCTCTTTATAGGTTAATTATGGATAGGCCTGACCAATCAGAATAAGGTTTCTCATGCTTGCCTATAAATAGGTTCATATCACCATCATTGTAAATTGTTAGATTTTAATGAGAGCTCTAAATGAGATACAAAACTTGTTTTTGATCAGCTCATCTAGAAATTGTAGTTGTTCTTTTTTACTTACCCAAATTTCCTCCTCTTAAAGCTTTTAATTTTTTTCCTTTTCTAATTCCAGTTCCATTTGTAACTTTTCTACAGCAAAAACTTGTTTTCGTCGAAATAGAACGCCCTTTTATATATTCCGGTATACGATGTAGTTTTTTCATACAAATTTCAGTCGGAGAACAAGAAAGTTCCTCATTTAGGAATTCATTTTGCATAACAAAACAACTTAGATTAAAAGTGAAACAAATACATTATTCATGTGTGTCAAGATATTAAAAATACCCGAATTTCGTCGAGCTTCTCATTGGCCATTTGAATTTTTTTTCGAAAAATGTTCAGTCTTGTAACGTTCAATCAATGATACTTCTTCTCCTTTCTTTTTATGTTTTAACAAGGTTGCTCACCATAAGTTTGTCAAGATATATATATTTGTAACAAGCAATGAAAGATTTAAGTTTTAAAGAAGTTGCTTACCTTGTCAACAATCTTTGCAATTGAAACTGTGCCAACCGCAGGTGGAACTTGATTAAATGATTTGTTTTTCTTATTTCTAATGCTAACCTTCTGCAACAATTAAAGTGAAACTGATTATTTCATGCAAAATGTAAAGATGTATGAAGCATTTCTGAAATTATGCAAAGTAAAAACATAGGGACCATTTCTATGAATTTTGCAAAATAAAAAACACAAGGGTTGTTTTTGTCATATTTGCAAACCACAAAAATAGGGACCATTTATGTAATTCTGCAAAGTAAAAACATACACACCATTTCTGTAAATTTTGAAAATAAAAAGCACAAAGGTTGTTTCTGTCATTTTTCCAAACCAAAAAACTCAGGGACCAGTATTATTAATTATGCAAAGTAAAAACATAGGGATCATTTCTGTAAATTTTTAAAAATAAAAAACACAAGGGTTGTTTGTCATTTTTCCAAACCAAAAAACACAGGACCAATTCTATAATTATGCACAAAGAACACATGGACCAATTTTGCAAAATAAAAAACACAAGGGTTGTTCCTGTCATATTTGCAAACCAAAAAACACAGGGACCAATTTTATAATTCTGCAAATTGAATACACACGGACCAATTTTGTAATTATGCAAAGTAAAAACGCATCGACCATTTATGACATTTTACATTTCTTGATAAATGTAAGGAAGGATATAATTTGGCAAAGAAGTAACCTGAAATTTCTCACTTGCAAATCTTTGACATAGTTTTACTAAATCAGCATCGATTACACCATTTGCAAGATTATTGATTGCTTCATCTTTTGTATGGATCATAAGTTGAATTTTCCTACAAAGTTGAATTTTCCTACATTGTCTTCTTGAAAGTAGAACGCTATAATAGAATGAAATGAAAGTACAATGTTGTAATAGAACGAAATGAAAGTATATTGTTTCTTTAAAGAAACTTTTGCACGATAAATATTAAAATAGAGAGTTGATAACATCATACCGTGCCTTTAGTGATAATATCATACTTCAACAAATCTGATTGGTTTTTCCAAGTGGTTCCATCAAATTTGGCATGATCTCTCACGCAACAAACCCACCTTTAGTGATGAATAGTTGACTATCTTCCCCAACTATACGACCAGCACATTCATCAACTTCAAAAACTAAATTCGCCTTATTCAAGCACCTCTTTTAAGTTTCATTCCAAGCTCTAGATTCTTTTCGAGTATTACACATGCCTACATAAACTTATTAAAAAAAATGATTGATTATATAATCATACACATTAATCACATACTATTTTATTTCAAATCAACATACCATGAGAAGTTAAACCAATGTTCGCATCTCAAAAAGAATCAACTTTGTGTTCCTCTTCTTCATAATCTTCCTCATCTCCGTTCAAACTAGAATAAGAAACTCTTCTGAGATGACTTTGATGGGGAGAGAGTGACTTCATTATTTCATCGGTAGGCAACACCTCATCTTGCAACCTGAGATTAGTATGTCCCTTATGAATCCTAAGATATATTACATCATGCTTGCTACATGACTTCTGAAGGCCGGATTTCTTCGATACACCTTTTTTCAGGCCAACCATCTAAATAAAAATAACACACATTTGTAAATTCATGTAAGGTATTATCAAAAGTCAGTGTCAGAGAAAATACCATATTTGAGAAAAAGGTATTCTTCAACTTTTTTTTTACTTGACTCCACCATTCCTCGATATCTTTTTTGATTCATAAAGTGTCTACTTAAACACTGCATACCAAACAAGATAATAAAAAATACATAAAAGACATTATTTCTATAATAGGAACAAATGTCAAAACTTTAGAAAAAACGCAAAAAATAGCATTGTACTTTCAGAAAATCTTATTTTCTAAGAAATAGATATGAAGATGATTAAAATTTGATGCTAATCGTGCTAGTTTCTGCACATTTTTCACATATTTTGGTAGCCTTGGCCTCAAGCTCACACAAACAACAACACAAAATGAGAACCAAAATGGATAGATGCCCACAATTATAGAGGTGGGTGCTCTCCTATGTCCATGAGGAACTTTTCATTCAATCTTTGCATACCCAAGAACAAGGCTCTCCAGGACTATAAGTAAAGAACCATGGAGACAAAAGGTACAAACGACAAATACTGCAACCACTAGGATGTCCCCCCATAATAACAGAACGTGGGAGGAGCATTACAAAAGAAAGGACTAATAGAAATTAAAAGATCATAAAGACAAAAGACATCAGGGAATAACTTAGTGGGCCTGGATCAACAAGTAGAATTGGGTTGCTTTGGTTTGTTCTTCCTTCTACTGAAAACAAATGTGTCCTTGGGCCTATCGTATTTTTCCAGAAAAACTAAAAATGGAGAGCAAACTTTAGAAAAACCAAAAAATCTTATTTTTCAAAAAAATCTTATTTTTCAAAAAAAGAGATATGAAGATTATCAAAATTTGATGCTAAAAGTGTTCATTTCTGCACATCTTTCAAGTATTTTCCAGAAAAACCAAAAATGGACAGCAAACTTTAGAAAACATGCAGAAAATAGCATTGTACTTTAAAAAATCTTAATTTTCTAAGAAACAGATATGAAGATGATCAAAGTTTGATGCTACATTGTACTTTCAAAAAAAAAAATCTAAGAAATAGATGGGGTTAATGTCACTCTAGCCCAACCAACAATACGGTTTTGTTTTAAATGGTCATTCATGTTTTTTTTTGTAGTTTAAGGGCATAAAGTCTATTTTTACTAGCTAAAAGAAGACTTTGACTTGTAATTGCTGGTTTCTTTAATGATATCATTTTTTCACTAAATAAAGAAATTAAATTAGATTCCACCTCAAAAATCCAAGTCAAAGTATCACCACTGTTACTCTTCAGCTTATCTTCTCCATACGCCCACCTCAAGAACTAGCAAGATAGTGTTTCGTCTCACCTTAAGAAGCTCTTTCTGTTTCTTCTATTTTCTTGATGTATATTGGTACTATGAAAATTTATTTGATTTTGAGGTGAGTATGAAAAAGGAAGTAATTGTGGATATAAGTGGAGTGATTAAATCGATTATTATTGTTTTTACTCTGAAGATGGATGGTGAAGGCTTTTGTAAGATTAAATCATGGAGGAGCCTCTTTCACCTCTTCCATCTTTGTCTTTTTTATTTTTTGTTATTGTTCATCTTAAATCTGGCGGTGAGTATCTGCATTCGATCTTTTTTTTGTCACTTCCAAAATCATGATTTTGCATTGATCAATCCATAGCTTGTTAGGTTTTTTTTTTGAGAGAGAGATAGGGAGAACGATCAATTTATCTTCATTCAACAAAATCCTGTTCTACTAAATTGTTTTGCTTTAGGATTTAAACCCTTCCGGCATGTGAAACAAAAAAAAAAAAAAAAAAAAAAAAAAAAAAAAAAAGATGTTATGCTTTATTTTCAAGTTGTATGACCAGAACTCCAGCTTTTGGTAATGAATCGTATTTGTTAACAAATTTTATATACGTGGAACACAAGTTAACAAATTTCATGTAATGACATGGCATTTTATTTTGCTGACTAGATTGGGGTAACCGGTAGACCCCTATATTTTTTACAAAAAGACATTTTAAAACCTAAAAGCCGAAGTTAATTCCCCTAGGATGCAAAAAATAAATAAATAAATAAAATAACATTGATAGTTGGTTGGGTCAAAGTGACATTAACCCAAATAGATATGAAGATGATCAAAGTTTGATGCTAAAAGTGCTATCTCTACACATCTTTCAAGTATTTTCCAGAAAAAACAAAAATGGACAGCAAACTTTAGAAAACATGCAGAAAATAGCATTATACTTTCAAAAAATCTTATTTTTCTTAGAAATAGATATGAAGATGATCAATATTTGACCAATGTTATTTAACATCTCTTCAAGTTCATCATCATTTAAATCATCACTAGCCCCATCAACTTATATATCATCAATCATCATCCGACAGGTTATATGACTCACCATGATATATCCACCTAACATAACTAACTAACAATCCCCATTTGCATCAAATGTGAGAATATAGTTGTTCTATTATGATGTCGAAAATTGTTGCATATTTTGCAAGGGCATGGAACTTTTGACAAAACTTCTTTATCACAGTATGAAAAATTAAGCAATTCATTCACACCCGACTCATATCTTGGGTCCTTTGTCATATGAACTATGTTCATCCAAGACTTGTCCATACGCTATGATAAAAGAAAAATTCTTGAAAAGAGTATAAATGTATAATGACAGTGATATAATTTAAGAAAACTCAAGTGGGATTGTTAAATTGAGCAATAAGTTAATCTAAATTTTGTATATGAGATGAAACTAAAATGTACTACTAACTTAAAGATCTATTAAAGATAAACTAGCATGCCAAATAGTCTTAAAGTAGAATCTGGAAGTTGTGAGGTTTAATAACTCTTTTATGTTATACATGTAATTACTTATAGAGGCCATCACAGATTTCATGACTCTTAAATAAAGAAAGATTACTTACAACATATTTATCTGTGTGCAGACCTTGGAGAGGGAGGAAATCATGAAAAAATATCAAGAAATTACGAGCTGGAAGAGATAATCTCCCTTCAGAATGTTTTGCTTTATATCAGCCAAAAAAAAACTTGGTAAAGGTTCTGATGGTTTGAGAATGAACGGAATTTGGATTTCCGTTGTGACTGATGAAAGAGAAGTATGGAGACAACATCAGAGCATGGTTCGAATTCAACAGTTTGGTAGAATGGAAGAATAAACAAAAATGCAGCTGATTGTAAACTATGTGCTAATTTAATGATAGGAAATCAAGCTTTTCTGTTTGTTGAGAAAGTCATGTTTCAAGTTGCTATGATTTTAGCTACTATTTGGTTGAATGGAATCAAGGAGCCGATTGATTAGCAATTGATAACTTGATTAGCAGGGAAGTGATGTATGCCACATGAGAGCGGAGAAAAGAGTACATGTTTGACTTCGAGTGGAGAACAGAGGTGGGTCGATGGGAGGGTGTGGACCGGCGACGATTGACCGGATACGATGGACCGGCGGCGATAGACCGGCGACGCTGGTGCCGAACTGCCGATGGTTGGTGTGGCGGCTGTCGATTTAGGGCAAACCGGCAAAGAGGAGAGAAGTGTTGAGTGTTGACGAGAGGCTGAGTGACTTTTCACTCTAGAGTTTGAACATTACGATGAAAATAGAAAATGAACATCTCAAACTTTTCCTCTAAAAGACAACAAAAAGATTTACGAAACACCACAAATGTAAAATACAAAAGGGCTCCAGAATAATTTTAGGTCAAGTATACCTTATCAGGGTAGTATACAAATGTAAAATACAAAAGGGTTCCAGAATAATTTTAGGTCAAGTATACCTTACTAATTTTAGGTCAAGTATACCTTACGAGGGTAGTATACAAATGTAAAATACAAAAGGGCTCCAGAATAGTTTTAGGTCAAGTATACCTTATCAGGGTAGTATAATAAATATGTTTGATAAAAGGGTTTTGATTAGTTGTGGATGAGTGCATAAAAACTTAGTTAAAGACTACTCAAATAAAATGTCTTCGGAAAATTATGTCCGAGAGAAAACAAAGCTCTAGTCATTTTTTAAAATAAAAAACATTAATTAATGACCACAACTTAGTCATTAATTGTTTTCAATTTGTAAACCAGTGTACTACTATTGAGTGGTCACGGTTTAGCTGTATGTGGTTTAGAATAACAAAGAATAATAAGTGACAATTATTTTTGGTCATTCAACTCAACTTTCAATCCAGTGACCATTATTTTTTTGTCACTAGGTATCTATTAGTCACTAATAGTTCTTATGATAAGGAGAGTATTTTAATTTTATTCACAGTTTAGTGACCACTATATATAATTTGGTCATTAAATTTGTAGGATTATCAAAATTCAGTGACAACTAAAATGATGTTGTTAGTGACCAAATTTTAGGTCATCACTAATAAGGACTTTTTCTTGTAGTGATTTGAAGATTTACCATGGAACTCCATATTTGGGCAAGGCTCTATTGCACATCATGATGGATGCATTGTTAGTCTTAATGGCTCAATGATCTTAACAGAAGTAAAAGATGAGAACCATATAATCAAATAAAGATTTATTCATATTTTATTACCGCTAAATTGACTATAAACTTGCTTTTTTTTAACAGAAACTATAAACTTACTACTTTTGTAGATGTATTCTTAGCGAAAAACACATCAAAATCCATATTCTTACCCTTTCTTCGTAAATAACAAAGATGAATATTATAATATGTTGGTGATTTGTATTACTGATATTATTTAAGTGTAATATGATTAATTTGTTGATCAATGTAGGGATGTCAAAAATCCTCATGAGACCCCGCTCCCGTGACTTTAGAACCTTGACATCACAGAAGGTGAATGTATGTAAAGATGGAATTCCACTACATCTTAGATAATGATAATAATTTGGAATTGTGAAATGAGCATCATTGGAGTAATGTATGGTCGATTTGTTCACAAAAAAAGGGTCATAGAGAGGCATAGTATGCATGTTTATAACATGGAATGACTGATGTTTTCTAATTCAAGTGGTTAGTTGATTACTCGAAACATTATACAATGAATAAATTCATAATTGTTATGGTGATTAAATAATAGGGATTTATTTATATTCAAAGGGTATGATACCGTAATTAATTAATTTATTATTGTGTTTTGTTTTACATGTTTTACTTCCCTGAGTAATTTAAATATTATTCAAAACTCCACAGTCGTTTATACTTTTTGAAATAAGTAGTGAATTAAGATTGTCATGAAGCGGATTGTAGATTGTCCATAGGGATTGTATGTTGCATACAGATTACTGCAATATTCATGAGTACTTGGAAATAGGGATTTTAAGTATTGGATAAACCCACGCTTAGAGAATACTTCATGGATTTAATCACGAGTAACTCTGAGATGATAATATATTCTATTCTTCAAACGGAGATACATAAATTGTAATTTACAAGTCGTTTGTGCATTGGTATTGTGAAAACATATCAGTAACATGATGTTATAGAACGTAGTGTCATGTATGATTTGGTGATTAAAGGTTACAGTTATGTAGTCGAAGTTTATTCATTCCTTTTGCTTTAACAGGAAAAGCGATATTTGTGGACCTCTCAGTGGTTTGAGTTGATCTATGAAAGCCATACGTCTGGTCCGGACTAAATTGATATGTTCGATTTTGTAGTCTAAATTTGACCACAAATCGGGAAATCGGTAAACAAACAAATAAACATGAGGTTGATCATTTAATCCATGACTCTATTCATACGATATCTTGTAGAACGAAGGAATAACTAATCACTTATCTTAGAGCCAACATTTGATTTGAATCAGAGTTTGGCAGTGGCTTTGGAAAGCACACTTTGTTGTTTGGTTCAAGGTTATACTTACAATTGTAGTTATAGACTTATCCAAGTAGGAGACTGTTGGATTAATGTGTCTAAGCTCATAACTAAATTGTTATATTCTTGTAATTAGAAGCAAAGTCCTTTTTGAGTTGCCTTCATAACTAGAACTTGATTAGAATGACATTTGTAGAGAGAGGATAAATTTATTAGTTTATTATATGATTACAATGTAATAAATGATTTGTTAATATATTAACTGGAAATAGACAATTGATTTGTTGATCCATTACGTGGTTAATAAACTAAAATAAGATCAATTGTTAAATAGTTGATTTGTTAATTTATATGATTAATAAATTAATATGAAGTTAATTAGAATTGATTAATTATTAATCATAATTAATTTGGAATTAATTAAAGGTGCAAGATGTGAATTGTAATTGTCTAATAGTTGAACAAAAGAGGCAATTTTAGAACCATCCAAGCATGGACGGTTTTTGGGAGCTATTATGGGGTATCTGGAAGCCTCCTGGTTGCATAAAAGAAAAGGATTTGAATTAAGATTAAATCTATTATTTAATCAATTCAAATCTTGCTTTGTTTGCAAGTTACCTAAACTATAAATAGGACCTCTTGGCTTGCAAATTTCGTGCATACTCCTTCCTAAAGGCATATGAATGAAAATTATACCTCTCTCCTTTATCCTAAATTGTCTTCTAGTTCTAGGGTTTGGGTGTGAGCCAATTGAGGCATCGTCCTTTTGGTGTTAGCTTTCTAAGCTCTTCAAAGGAAGGATTAAAGTAATTTGTTTACTACAACAAATCAAAAGTATGTAACCCTAATTATTGTATTGTATTTTGATTATATTAGGGTTCATATTGTTTTTGTTTTTCATTATATATTGCATTCAAAGTGTATGGCATAGATCCTTTAGGTTGCATGTGCCCTTAATTGTTAAGTGAAATTCCGCAAGCACATAGTTTTGTAACCTATAAAACCCATCAAAAAGAACCATGCTCCAGCTATTTCGATTCCAAGTTCAAACCAAGCTCCAAGCTATTTCGATTTTGAGCATTAACTCATAAGAAAATTATTTTTAGTGGCTTTCTTCAAACTCTACAATGAAACAAGTAAGCATTTATATTTTAAGTTTATGAAATTAATTTCTTTTTTGTTGAAATTGTTATTGTTTATGTGAAATTAGTAGTTGTTTACCTAGAAATTAGTTGTTGACTTATTGTTAATGTAACATATGTTTTCTTGGATGAATCGAATTAGGGTTTCAGAGGGTCAAAAGGTTAGATTTTGGTGAAAAGGGGGTCCTCACGACGTAAGGCATGGAGGCTCATGACGTGAGGAGGGCCGCATGAAGATTCCATCCGGGACTGAGCTCACGACGTGAGCAATAAGAGCTCTAAGAGCTCACGACGTGAGGAGCGCTACAGCTCAAGCCCACAAAGTTTTAGGGTTTCCTACGTATTTAAGCCCTCCTATCTCGGTTTTAGGGTTCATTTCTCAGCCTCCACCTTCCACTAACTCAGAAAACCCTAACCCTAATCCATCTTGGTGATTTTGGATCCATTTTAGTGTTTTAGTGGCTAGACGACGAAGAAGAAGAAGAGGTTCTAGAGTGTTGGTTCAGCAAGGAGGCTTCATCATCATCATCTTGTGCACATTTTAGACCATTTTAAGTATCCAAGATCCAATATTTATGAGCTCAAATTGCTAGATTTAAGTTCTAAGCTCCTTTTTTCATGTTTATGTTGGATTGCATGCTTGGGATCCATAAAGTTAGCAACTTTGTGGATCAATGAGTCATTCTCTATGATTTAGTCTTATGGATCTGGAATGTGGTTGTAATTTATGAATCTTGTTTGAGTTTGGGGTTATTTCTTGTCATTTTGACCTAATATGGGTTTAGGACATGCTTGGGGAATGCATGTCCATCAAGTAATCGTTTTATTGGCCTTTGGAGTCTTTGTTAGCTTCTAAAAGAAATAGGATTAAGGGCTTAATGGATTAAGGACTTAAAATTTGGATTTTTAGCATCAGACTGTTCTCATGACGTGATGACACAGGGTCTCACGACGTGAGAAGTGTTGGTCCCATTTATGGTCATCTGATTGGAGCTCATGACGTGAGAAAGGATTCTCACAACGTGAGGGCAGCCCTGTTGACTTTTCCTTAGATGAGTTGACTATGTTGAGTCGTGATGATTTGGGTTATGATTGAGTGAGCTCTCATGATGTGACCAAGGCTGGTCACGACGTGAGATGTGGTTTTGGGCATTTGGGCCTTGTTGGGCCCTAGTTTTCTGTATGTGGGCCTTTTTGGTGCTTGGGCCCATTTGGAGCTTTGGGTATCTTTTAGAAGTTTGGGCCTCCTTGGATTAGGACCAAGATGGGTTTTGGGCCGATTAGGAAATTGGGACTTAGTGGGCTTTTGATGCTATTGGTGGGCCTCAGATTTTGCGCCATGTGAGGAAAGGGTAAAATGGACTTTTACCCTGAGTGTTGAACAGTCAGACTTGAACCCTAGCTCTGGGTTGTGGACCAATTATTAATTTGGTATTATTTGTTGGTGCTAGCGTGCGGGGATTTTTCGGATCGGCAGTCCAAGCTTTTATCTAAGATATCCGACAGTTTGAGGTGAGTTTCCTCGCTGTGTTTAGCGGGTCGAATGCACCAGTGTTGGCCCATGGTTGATATGTTAATATGCTAGTTGTCTGCGTGACTCTTGTATGTGTTATGTGTATATGTTTACCGGGTGGGGCTCGATGTCGAGCGGGGCCTGATGATTGTAATGCATGCTATTATCTTTGTGATTATCGCATGTATTTGTATGTTTATATGATTATATGTTTAAATGTATATCGGGCGGGGCCCGATGCCATGCGGGGCTTAATCACTGACAGATCTATTTACCGAGCGGGGATCGATGTCGGGTGGGGCCCATTATATCTTTACTTATCTATGTATGGTATGTGGTATTTTGGGGAACCGTGACAACCCGAAATTTCTAACTTGTGTAAACATTCAAATTTATCAGTGTTAGACTCATTTTGCTTCCAGTTATCACTGTTTGGAACCTGTTTTGAGTATTCTAACTCTAGTGAATCAAAGGAATTAGTATTTG